AGCTTTTGCCGGTCTCGAGATGAAAAATCGGTACAGAGGCCCAGCGCACACACAGACACACACAGAGACAACCTCTCTCGTCAATATGCGTTTTTCGCATTGCATTGCTGCAAAAAACGCATAAAAACATGTTAAAGAGCAATCGAAATATTCTAATACTTGAATGCGTTCCCTTTTCCAGCAATTAATAACATGTTGCCAGAATTATTAACTACGTTTCGCAGAGAACACCTAAACCACTTGCGCCTCGTAAAGAACATAGATCTTATCTCCAGTTGCGTATCATGGCTTTCTTACAAGCAGTTAGTCGCATCGCCTTTCAATGTTTTCAATCGGCACTGCAGACCCTTCCAAAAGTACAACGAATTTCTTACGAATTTAGTACTGAGTGTACAAGCATTTAAAAACACGGTTTTCTTACCCTTAAAATTAATGCTCATTTTAAATACATCATTTAAAACAAATTTTAATGACCTGGTACCTATGCATGACCAGAATTTCTCTAGTAGCTTCTTCAAGCAAATACGCGTCTTAATGTTTTTTTTTTCTGTCAAAGAAAAAAGGCCACGAAAAGAACAAAAAAATTACCTACATTGAGCTTCTGTACATACCCTGAGTGTTCGAAGTACTTTGACCATTGGCAGGACTAATATTTAGTCGCTGCTCGAATTCGTTGATAAGCTGACCAAGCTTCGCTTGGACAGCCTGCGACGAATTGAAATTGCCCAGCACGCGAACGGTAGTAGTTTTTTGTGACTCATCACAAGCATCGTCTGGAATTTTCACTTGTGCTCCAGTCGAACGCTGCAGTTCGCGTACCTAAAAAAGCCTTTCACTGCAAGTGTATTTGGCATGCGTATTTTTGAAATACCCGTGTTCGGTTAGCAGATATATAAGTGGAAGTTTTTTTTTAACGCAGAACACTAACGCGATTAATTTTGAGGTACATGGCAAAAAGTTGAGTCATGTAATGCAAAGTCTGCCAGACTGGTGTTGAACCTAATTAAATTCACAAGAAATGACAGAGAGAGCGCACATTTACTTCGAAAGTTACTGAAAGATCGCTTAGAAAAAAATGCTTGATAAGGCAAATCAACTGATCCTTAAATATTAAAAAAATAACGGTGCAAAACAGAGTGGTAGATGCAACCATGCATTTTGTGCAATACTTTCTAGCGGACGTTTGTGTAACCCTGTTCAGCGGACGTATGTGCAGTTCTCTCTAAGAAGATCTTACTGTAAGAAGTGTCTGCTGCTTTACTGTTTCTTAAATACAGAAATTTTTCTGGTTCTCGAATTATTCATTTTGGCGTTGGAATTTTCACCTGCCCGGAGACCTAAGCGCGCAAATTTACGCGGGCAGGGAGTATCCTTCCAAAATTTCAGCTTCCTAGCTTTTTCGGTTCACACATGAAACATACGCACGTACACACATATGCCCACGCGCGCACACGTACACGAACATCAGTATTTTT